AGAAAGCCTGCTTGAAAAATTATGAAAATGACAAACGGGATGTTTTCGTCCTGTCTTCCATTCACACAGACACGACCATCCAAAGTGCCACGGCAGCCTGAAAAGCCCCTCTGTGTCCACGACTATAACCTTAACATGGGAGGGGTGGACTTCAATGACTAGATGATGAAAGCCGTACTTAGTTTCCAGTAAAGCCAGATGCTGGTACAAAAAAAGTTTCTTTATTTCAATTGGCTCTGTATAATGCTTTTGTGCTTTATAAAGTAACTGGAAGAAATGGATTGCTCCTAAAACTTCAGGAACGAGATCATCACGGCCCATTTGTATCCAGAAGCTATGGCCCAAACACCCAACACAGATGCAGTGAGCCAGGTGCATGAGAGGCATTTTCCTGAGGCCATTCCTGGTACCCCAGCCCAAAGGACACCCCAAAAAAGATGTTGTGTCTGTAGCAGACACAGAATTAGGCATGACACCTGCTTTTTTTTTTTGTCCCTCCTGTCCTGGCCAACCTGGTCTCTGCCTCAAGGACTGCTTCTGTCGCTATCACACACTAGTGGAGCATTAGTATAGGGTACAGAACAGCACAGTCAAGGGCACATATATACACAAGGTCTCGAAAGATGTTAGATAGGAAACTGGCTATCGCATTTTGAGAGACTTTAACATCTGGATGTTACAGTTTAAAAAAAAAAGTTTAAAAAAATTAAAGTAGAAAAAAAATATGAAAAATTAAAACAAAAATTAAAAACTAAAATAGTTGTAGTCTTACTGTTTTATTGTTAAACATTGCTGTTTTCTTTGCAAGAATGCAGTTTAGCTAGAGCATTGATCTGTTTAGTGTGACAGCAACAGGGTCTTCTCAGAATATGTCAGTGTGTGAAGCGCTGTTGAATTAGATTTTTCATTCACAGTTAAGAAAACATATATGCCCAAGCATGGGAGCCTGGGGTGGTCAGTGGGTGGATCACTCCTATGCTTCGAAATATATTTAAAAAAAAAAATGTTTAGCAGAGATTTCTTCATCCACATCGATCAATGTGAATAGAGAAATCTGTTAGGCTCTTCTTTTTTTCATTCAGCCCATGGTCTGAATGAAAAAAAAAAAACAACATTTCATCTATGCCCAGCATTAGAAGTGGGTAGATGCAGGGTGGTATATTCTAATGGTGGGCATACCATACACTTTTTGGCAGAGATTTCTTCTCAGTCCACAAGCTGCATAAATAAAAAAAACATAACCCAACAAGGACCAGCGATGTACTGGTAGATCACTAGACTGAGTGGTTATACCAGGATGAGCTGGTATCGTTTTTTTTCAGCCAGCAATTCACTTTTTTGTCACAGTAATCCTAGTGGCTAATTAGCCACAGGATTGCTTTTACAGACAGCGAGAGGAGATGTCCCCCCCCCCCCCCCCGCTGCCTTCCACAACTTTCTCTGGTAGTCCTGTGCCATCGGGGAACCTGAGAATGCAGCCGGCATTTCTCCGCATGCTGACCATAGAGCTGACTGGAGACCGGAATGGCGCCAATCATCTCTGTAGTCTAAGAAATCAGGAGCTACAAGCATTTCATCACTTCGGTTTCACCGGATATAAACAGTGCCATTTTTAAATTGGGAAAGCATCTAAATACACAGATCTTGGTGACATCAGATGATTTAAGGGCAAAGGAGATATCTAGATTCTAATAGACCCCAAATTTTTCACAAAAGAATACCTGGCACTGTCTATCATTTCTATCATAGGGGATATTTACATTCCCTGTGATAACAATAAAAAAAAAATGAAAGGGACAGTGTAAAAAAAAAAAAAAAAATGGCAACGGCGTACGCGAGCATTGGCCCTGTGCTGGTATGTAAAGAGCAGTTGCACCATGCATGTGAGGTATCGCAGCAAACATCAGATCTAGCACCAGACCTCCTGTGCAAATCTAAATGGCTAAATGGTAGCCTGTAAAGGCTTTTAAAGTGTCGCCTATGGATATTAAAAAAATGTATGTAGTTTGTCAGAGCATGTCATGTTTGGTATCTATTTACTTGGCATACCATCATCTTTTATATTTTAGCAAACAATTGCCCAATATATTGTGTTTTTGTGCATTAAAATAAAAAAAAAAAGTTTTGTTTGAAAAATTGCTGCGCAAGTACTATGTGACATAAAAAATTGCAATACCCACCATTTTATTCTCTAGGGTATCTGCTTTGAAAAAATATATGTCTGGGGGTTCAAAGTAATTTTCTAGCAAAAAAATATTGATGTTACCATGTGAACAAAAAGTGTCAGAAAAGGCTTGGCCTTCAAGTGGTTAGAAGAGCGAGTGATGTGTGGCATAAGCGTCTAATGCTGAGCATAAAATTCCAAGTTAACAAAACACCCCCCCAAATGACACCTTTTTGGAAAGTAGACACCCTAAACTATTTGTTGAGAGGCATGTGGAGTCAACAGAATTTATTTTTTTGAACAATGACAAAAAAAAGTTTTTCACACAAAGTTGACACTTAAATGATATATTGCTCACCCATGCCATGGGTAGATGTGGAATTACTCCCCAAAAATACATTCTGCTAATTCTCCTGAGTATGGGGATACCACGTGTGAGAGACTTTTAGGCAGTCTAGTCGTGTACAGGACCCCAGAATCCAATAAGCACCTTCAGGCTTTTAAAAGACTTTTGTTCCTCATTACACTTCCAGAGACCCTGAAATGCCAGAATAGTACAACCCCCCCCCCCAAATTACCCCTTTTTTTGTTTTGTTTATAGCAATTGTCAATCTAGCACAGCACCGTATAGTAAAAAATGGCTTAACTTCCAGTATCTATACCATAGGTTTGTAGATGCTATAACTTTCATATAAACCAATTACTATACATTTATTGGGATTTTTTTTTTTACCAAAGTCATGTAGCAAAATACATTTGGCCTACATTTATGATGAAATTTGAGTTTATTGGATGAGAAACTTTTTTGTATACAGCGCATAAATAAAAAATCCAGAAGTGATCAAATACCACCAAAAGAAAAGTTCTATTTTTGTGAAAAAAAGGACATAAATTTAGTTTGGGTATAGCATTGCATGACCGTGAAATTATTCACTGAAATAGCGCAGCGCCATATAGCAAAACATGGCCTGGTCAGGAAGGGAGGCTTAATCTTCCGGAGGGCAAGTGGTTGATTAAAAAAAAAAAAAGCCAAAACAATGGTTGCACTGTTTTAATCAATCACGAGGTCCAGCATTGTTTCGATGACACTGACTCGTCGAAATTAAAAAAAAACCTGACGGCCACTGACCTTTCTGCACCGCCGAGTACTCGCTGCAATCTGAAATTTGCCGGTCAAATGTAAACAATTGGGTGGAGCTAGTGATTACATCATTAGCCCCACCCAACTGTGCTGTGATGAGGTGCATTGCTTTGGCCAATCACGGCTCTTACAATGCACTGCATTGTGGGGCACTCAGTGGCCGAACGCCCTTACCGCCCTTACGTTTGACTCGTACATCAAGCCCATCCCTAGTTATTACCTATTGAGAAATGCCAGGATTCCATGGAAAAAATTATGTCACTAGTGTGTATGTGGACATTGTATTAAGATCATATAAAGGTGGTATAGTGGTTACACACCAAAGATTTTAATAAATTAATATGGAATACGCTGGAAATACACATGTTGGAAGGAAGATCTAATGCGTATGCCACTGGGTTAACCCTATGGAGTATGCGGAAAGGCCTAGTATACCGAGGTGCCAGTTTTAGTGAGGTAACACGGAGTCGGTGGTTAAGGAAAGACAGCCAAGACCCTCTCCCCAACTTGGTAGGAGGGTGCAGGTAGGAAACTATGGTTAGCATGGAGTTTGCCAGAATTTTTTGCAAGGTTTGCAAGAATTCTTGGATCTGAACCTAAAGCAGAGGTGATGAGGTTTTCCAGGAGGAGAATGGATTTGAGAAGCCAGAATTTTCTCACCCAAAGGTGAATGGAGACTAGTGAGAATAGTGGCCAATATGCGGTACGGAGGTATCACAGGAGCAGGAACAGACTCCATTTTGTAAGAAGAGGAAAACTGCCACAATAATTCATCTGCCCTTATATTCTTCTTACCAGGTAAGAATGAGACTATGTAATTGTCAGGGCTCCGGGGTATGACGAGAGGTATGTGACTGACGCAGGGAAACGCAGGCTTCAGATATGTTATAAACAATATAATTTATTAACACTAACAATGCAAACATAAACGCAGTGCAATACTAAAACATAACACAGTGCAAACGAACCAAACCAAACTACCCACAGATAACAGTACATACAATGCAAGCGTCGTCAGGCGGGCCGGGTCAATAACAATCGGGCAGGTAGGTACAGGGGGAGCAAGCGGAGAATGGTCGGGGTCACAAGCCAGGTTCAGCAGGTAGCAGGCAGCGTGGTACAGAGGGTCAGGCAGAGGGATAGTCAGGAACGAGCCGGGGTCAGAGCAGGAGAGGGTCAGCGTAATCAGAACAGGCAGAGTTTGGCAACAAGGAAACGTACTAGCAGGAACACAGGAACAGGAATGCAGGATTACAAGATACAGGGCCAAAGGAAAAACACACGCACCAAGGCAAAGACTGCAGGTCTGGCCATCACTTAAATACACCTGCCTTTGCAGTTTCAGGTGTTTGGCTGGCTGCAGGGTTGAGTCCCTGATTGCTGGGAGCACCCGCTGGCCAGCCCTGGTACTGCAGCCCACAAGGCAGGTGAGTCCCACCATTACTGGCAAGTCCATTCCTAACAATACCCCCCCCCCTCAAGGAGCGGCCTCAGAACGCTCCAAACAGTCCTAGCTGGGCAAAATGTTCCACCGCCCGGGTCTTTTAACTGGCAGGATATCAAAGACTGGCACATAGGGCAGGACTCCGGGCAGCGGCACTCCGGGCAGAGGCACATCGGGCTGGACTCCGGGCAGAGGCACATCGGGCTGGACTCCGGGCAGAGGCACATCGGGCTGGACTCCGGGCAGAGGCACATCGGGCTGGACTCCGGGCAGAGGCACATCGGGCTGGACTCCGGGCAGAGGCACATCGGGCTGGACTCCGGGCAGAGGCACATCAGGCTGGGCCCCCCGGGCGGGGCGACAGGCACCGGGGCCCCCAGGCGGGGCGACAGGCACCGGGCCCCCAGGCGGGGCGACAGGCACCGGGCCCCCAGGCGGGGCGACAGGCACCGGGCCCCCAGGCGGGGCGACAGGCACCGGGCCCCCAGGCGGGGCGACGGGCCTCGGGCCCCCAGGCAGAGCGGCGGGCGCCGGACCCCCAGGCGGAGCGACAGGTCTCGGGCCCCCAGGCGGAGCGGCGGGCGCCGGACCCCCAGGCGGAGCGACAGGTCTCGGGCCCCCAGGTGGAGCGGCGGGCGCCGGACCCCCAGGCGGAGCGGCGGGCGCCGGACCCCCAGGCGGAGCGACAGGTCTCGAGCTCCCAGGCGGAGCGGCGGGCGCCGGACCCCCAGGTGGAGCGAAAGGTCTCGGGCCCCAGGCGGAGCGGCGGGCGCCGGACCCCCAGGCGGAGCGACAGGTCTCGGGCCCCCAGGCGGAGCGGCGGGGGCGCAGGACCCCCAGGCGGAGCGGCGGGCGCAGGACCCCCAGGCGGAGCGGCGGGCGCAGGACCCCCAGGCGGAGCGGCGGGCGCAGGACCCCCAGGCGGAGCAACAGGTACCGAGGCACGACAGTGGGCTCCGAGTCAACTGGCATGACCGCCGGCACTGGGTCAGACATTGGATCGTCTGGCTGGACAATGGGCATCGGGTCACCAGGCATCAGGTCACTTGGCTCGACAGCGGGCACCGCGTCATCTGGCAAGGCAGTGGGCACCAAGTCACCAGGCACGACAGTGGGCTCTGAGTCAATTGGCACGACAGCGGGCACCGGGTCATCCGGTACCGGATCGTCTGACTCGACAGCAGGCACCGGGTCATCTGGCGCTGGATCGTCTGGCTCGACAGCGGGCATCGGATCACCAGGCATGACCGCGGGCACTGGGTGATCAGGCATTGGATTGTCTGGCTCGACAGCGGGCATCGGGTCACCAGGTATGACAGCGGGCACTGGGTCACCAGGCATCAGGTCATTTGACTCGCCAGCATCAGGTCATTTGGCACCGCGTCATCTGGCAAGGCAGTGGGCACCGAGTCACCAGGCACGACAGTGGGCTCTGAGTCAATTGGCACGACAGGGGGCACGGGTCATCAGATACCGGATCGTCTGGATCGACAGCGGGCACCGGGTCATCTAGCGTTGGATCGTCTGGCTCGACAGCAGGCATCGGGTCACCAGGCATGACAGCAGGCACTGGGTCGTCAGGTACCGGATCGTCTGGATTGACAGCGGGCACCGGGTCATCTGGCACTGGATCGTCTGGCTTGACAGCGGGCATCGGGTCACCAGGCATGATAGCGGGCACTGGGTCATCAGGCATTGGATCGTCTGGCTCGACAGCGGGCATCGGGTCACCAGGTATGACAGCGGGCACTGGGTCATCGGGCATTGGATCATCTGGCTCGACAGCAGGCATCGGGTCACCAGGTATGACCGCGGGCACTGGGTCATCAGGCATTGGATCGTCTGGCTCGACAGCGGGCATCGGGTCACCAGGCATGACAGTGGGCACCGGGTCATCAGGTACCGGATCGTCTGGCTCGACAGCGGACACTGGGTCATCAGGCGTGATAGGATCATCAGGCTGGATCAGTTCATCAGGCTGGGTACAGACATCAGGCTGGGTACAGACATCAGGCTGGGTACAGACATCAGGCTGGGTACAGACATCAGGCTGAAGTGCGGGTGCCGAGGCACCAGGCTGAACCACGGAAGGCAGGTTCTCAGACGGCAGGCTCACCGGTTTGGATACTGGCAGGATGGTACTGATTGGAAAGAATTTCCGTTTTTTTCTGGTTTTAACTACTGGAGCACTGCAAGTAAACGCAGGTCTGCAAACGAATGGAGCAGCTGGAGACAGAGAAGAGCTGGAGGATGGAACAGGGGAGTGAAAAGTTGCTACAGAGGACTTCTTTACAGGGTTAAAGGCAGGATAGGTGCAGCGAGTGGGAACAGGGTACTGACATGCGGTAGATAGCAGGGCAGGAGAAGCTGTTGGGAATGCAGGAATAGAGCTTTGAGGAAATAGATTAGAAGCAGGACTGGGTTTTTGCAAGCTGACTGAGGCTGGGTGCAACAAGTCTGTCCATGTCTGCAGTATGGGTTGAACAAAGCTGAGCTTACACAAAGCCTGTCTAACCAAAGACTGCACTGCGTTTATACAATCTCTTAGTATCTGTGGTGAACATGCAGAATAACGCTCCAGAAAGTAATCCACATCATCCTCTAATAACCATACCAGGGACTCTACCTGGTCGGCACTAAATGGTGGCAAAAATTCATCCCTGCATTCGGGGGTACCAGATGAAACCAACTCCGCACAAACCTGAATCAATGGCTGCACCTCAGAGAATTCTGTGCCCTGATCTACTAGAACATGAGCGAGCCGTATACATTCTAGCAGTTCATCCCTGGGATACTCCTTCAGAGTCTGATAAGCATATTCTCTGTCATCAAACACTAGCAGATATAAATACACAACCTCATCAAGATCCATCCTTCCCATCAACAAACCAAGATGGCTTCCCTGTGCAGCCACTTCTGGTCAGGATGGGCCTTGGTGTAATGTCAGGGCTCCGGGGTACGACCAGAGGTATGTGACTGACGCAGGGAAACGCAGGCTTCAGATATGTTATAAAAACAATATAATTTATTAACACTAACAATACAAACAAACGCAGTGCAATACTAAAACATAACACAGTGCAAACGAACCCAACCAAACCACCCACAGATAACAGTATATACAATGCAAGCGTCGTCAGGCGGGCCGGGTCAATAACAATCAGGCAGGTAGGTACAGGGGGAGCAAGCGGAGAATGGTCGGGGTCACAAGCCAGGTTCAGCAGGTAGCAGGCAGCGTAGTACAGAGGGTCAGGCAGAGGGATGGTCAGGAACGAGCCGGGGTCAGAGCAGGAGAGGGTCAGCATAATCAGAACAGGCAGAGTTTGGCAACAAGGAAACGTACTAGCAGGAACACAGGAACAGGAACAAGAATGCAGGATTACAAGATACAGGGCCCAGGAAAAACGCATGCACCAAGGCAAAGACTGCAGGTCTGGCCATCACTTAAATACACCTGCCTTTGCAGTTTCAGGTGTTTGGCTGGCTGCAGGGTTGAGTCTCTGATTGCTGGGAGCACCCGCTGGCCAGCCCTGGTACTGCAGCCCACAAGGCAGGTGAGTCCCACCATAACTGGCAAGTCCATTCCTAGCAGAAATTGAAGCTTGGCAGAAAAAGGGCCCACCAAGCCCTTCTAGGAGATAAGCATTTAGCCTAAGACAAGAACGTGAGATTCTTATGGCCAGTAAAAATGAGGACGGGCACAGTATTACCCTCAAGGAGATGCCTCCTTTCTTTAAGAGCTAAAATGATAGCCAATAATTCTCTGTCCCCAATTTCGTAATTGCATTTTGTGGGAGAGAGTTTTTTTTTTTTTTTTTAGAAAAGTAGCCACAAGGATGCAAGGGGCCCACAGGGGTAGGACATTGAGACAGAAGAGCACCTACTCCAGTATGAAGGGTAACATAGAATCAGGATGTGCCAGCACTGGGGCTGCAGCAAAAGCAGCCTTGAGCGATTCAAAGGCTTTAATGGAATCCGGAGACCAATTCTGTAAGTTGCCTTCCTTTCTGGTCATATCGGTCAGGGGTTTGACCAGAGAAGAGAAATTACAAATAAGTTTCAGGTAATAATTAATGAAGCCAAGATCTATGGGTCGAGGGTCTCTGGGTCCATCAAAAATCTGGCAGCAGATATGACATAACCCAAAAAGTTAACCTGTTGACAATGAAACTTGCACTTTTCCAACTAGCAATACAGGTTGTTCTCTCTCAAACTCTGTAGCACATGGGAGACGTCTGTGTGGTGGTTCCCTAGGGATTTTGAATATATGAGAATATCATCGAGGTAAACCACCACACAATGCTGCAGCATATCTCAGAGGACATAGTTATTAAATTCTTGGAAAACTGCAGGAGCATTGCAGAGACCAAAGGCATTATGAGGTATTCGTAGTGTCTGCTCCTAGTATTAAATGCAGTTTTCCAATTGTCGCCCTCTTTAATCCTTACAAGATTGTATGCCCCTCTCAAATCAAGCTTATTGAAGACTGTTGCTCCCTTAAGGTGGTCAAATAATTCTGTTATGAATGGTGGTCAAATAATTCTGTTATGAATGGGATTGGATAAACATTTTTAATAGTAATGTAATTGAGACCCCTATAATCGATACAGGGTCTCAGTTCATGAAACTTTTTTTTACAAAAAAAAAAAACCAGCCCTGGCAGGAGAAGAGGATTTGCAGATGAACCCCTGAGAGATAGTGAATCCACAACATGCTCCTCCATAGCCTTATCCTCCAAGACAGACAGATGGTAAACTTGACCACAAGGAGGAATGTCACTAGGTTGAAGGTCAATTGTGCAGTCATAAGGCTGATGCTGCAGCAAAATACCGGCCTGTCCTTTGTCAAAGACATTAGAGAATTTCCGGTACTCCTCTGGCAAAGAAAGACTGAAGACGTGCACAAGACCCTACTCAAAAAACAAGTATTAGTGCATTGTGGTGACCATGACAGAACCTCAGCTCTGCCAAAACAAATGAAGGATTGTGCTTCTGTTCTGTAACCAAGGATAACCAATGACAACTGGTTAATGAGGTGGGGAAACTATTTGGAATTGGATTATCTCGTGGTAACGAGCCCCTACAACCATGGTCAATGGTGCAGTTTCATTGGTCACATGTGCAGGCTGTAGAGGCCTCCTATCAATAGCCTCAATAGAAAGTGAGGAGGCACGAGGCTGCAGCTATATTGAGTGCTTCAACACGAAGACACAATCTATGAACAAGCCTGCATCCCCAGAATCGATTAGTGCTTCGGTGTCGATGGAAAACTCAGACCAGGAAAGGGTAACTGGAACTACAAGCTAATCTTTAAGGATAGCTGGGGACGCAAATGCGCTACCTAAGGTCTGTCCCCTATAGGACTTCAGGTGCGGGCGTTGACACGTTTTGTGCACTAGCACGTTGTCCCTTTTGACGTGCTAGTGCACGAAACACGTCAAGGGACGTGCTTGCCGTGCTGACATCACACGCTGCCAGGTCCATGTGCTTGGCTGGCAGCCATTTTTTTTTAAATTCTATCCAGGATTTGTGAATTATTTTAAGATGATCCCCCAGCATGAATAACTGGTTATTATATGCATGCACATGCTGGCTTTCATCCGTTTTGGAATAAGCCGGCTATATGATTTATTTTGAGCTATAATCTCTTTACTGCCGATATTATTGTCATATGATTGTGACAGTATTTAACCATGTGCTAATACCCATTGGCTATAAAATAAAATACTACACTATATTAGCCTTCTTTTTGGTGGCTTATTTTTGGAGCTGCTTAAAGGTGGAGATTTAACATCACTAAGTTGCTGTGGAATCTATACCGAGGGTTTGTTCCTTTCACTGTGAGGGTCCTACGGAAAGGTCTGAAGTCCAGTCAAGGGTGTAGCGAGTACCTGAGGAGTACCATATCCCTATCGGTTCCCAGATGCCCTACAGGAATATCTGTACATGCACAAACTGGTTGTGTGTCTGGTGAGTGCAAGCACACCTCTTTTGCCTTTACCACAAGGAGTTAAGAGCACCATATTTTATTGAATATGTGGAGGAGCTACGAATC